GAGAGAGAGAGAGAGAGAGAGAGAGAGAGAGAGAGAGAGAGCAGCGTCGTGCCCGAGATTTTGAGAAGTGGTCACAAAGGACATGCTGCGCCGCATCGCTGAGCGCTGCTTGGAAAGTCTCGCGGTAGTCACAACATCATGGAGAACAGAAAGCGAGAAGGGACTCTATTGTTTATACGCAATCAGATTTGCCGTTGTGTTTTTTGAGACTCAAATTCATAAAAAATGGGTAAGTATGCTATCTATTAGAATATTCTAAGATCAAAAGTACTTTAAAGTTATCAAAACTAAGGCTGGGTTTGTGCTGCTGGTTGGGTTTCTGTCATAAAACCGCTTTGCACCATAATGTCTGTTATAAAGCAACATTGTTGTAAACAGGCACGGCGCCACTGCGGTGCTCGAGATAGAACTGGCGCCAATCTTCAGTGCCTAGGTGCGGTGTCGCGCTTCTGGGACATTGCGCGGTGCGGTGCTCCCCGTGTGCCCACTCTCATTAACTGTAATGGATTATATTTAAAATGGCGGCACAACGCGGCGCGTCCGCCTCCGGTGTGCCCCAGGCTTAGGCTCCCTATTGAATAGAACAGAATATCCCTTTATTGTTCTGCAGTGGGTACGTTTTTGTCACAGGAAAGAGAGGAAGGTTATTGGAAGAGGCGAACAGCTGTAAGACGTTTCAGTTTGTGTCTGCTGACGAGTTGCCTGAGGCCACCGAGGCCGAGCCAGCTGGAGGCGTGGCTGAGACTCGCTGCTCCCGACAGCAGTAGTCACATGTACCGGCTGACCTAAGATATCACCGATTAGCTAATAACCAAGGCCAATTCAAATTCAGATGTGGTGCAGAGTTTTAGCCTAAAGAGTTCAAATGAGATGCAGTAAAATGCCAAATGAATGACTACATATGTCTACAGCACTATTAAACACTCTTTTATAAAGTTTTTCAGTAAAAGACTACATTTAAAGGTGGCTCCTCATCTTCATCCCTGACAGGCGGGCTGCGACCCGTTTCCTCTAAAGCACCAAGATGACAAACGCCAGGTATAAGTTGTTCTTTGCAAAAAGATCTGACACATTTTTCTTAATAATAAAATCAAAAAAGAAACAATTTCCACCTGTCTTTTATATTAAAATGAAATGTGCAACGGATTTTCAATTTTAGCATCCCCAAGTCAACCTAAACTTATTTAAAAAGATCATGTGTAGCATTTTTCTCAAACACAAGAGACAGAACAGACATTCTGGCAGCAAACTCACTCTTTCTAAATGCCAATTTTTGCAGTGAGTGCATTTGTTTGTGTTTACCTGCATGAATAATTTATTCATAGTACCTGCCAGTCACTGTTTATTTGATTCAAAATGTAAACAATAGTCTTATCTAAATGATTAAAATGTTTGTTTTATTAGAACCATCTTCATTTGAAGAAATGATGGGAATGTCAAACTATCTCTATAAGCTTTTGTGGTTATAACACACACACACACACACACACACACACACACACACACACACACACACACACACACACACACACACACACACGCTGCTCATTCAATTTGACAGAAACTTTAGATTGAGAGCAGAAAAGAAGAACAGATTTATAAATTCATCTTTTATTTTTCATAAAATTAGCAACACTGTAGAAGATTAGCTATCTTTGATTCAAACTCAAAAGTCTGAAAACATTTGTCCTTGCAAACCTATTTTAAAATCACCTTCATTAGATTTCCTACAGCAGAACAAATTCCTGTTCTCACAGACCAAACGTTTTCATCAAACTCTTACTGACAAGGTCATCAGTTTTTTGCACTGAATCAGTTTTTGTGAATGGGTTTCCAAAAAGTGAAACTCTCCAGATTTCAAAGTTAAATGAAAGACTGTTTTGACTTTGTGGAGGAGAAAATAAAAGAGATTCCAGAAGAGGCAAGAAAGGAAAACAAATTAATAAATTCTTTGAAGACTTGAAATAGTTTGTTTCTGCTTTATTATGGCTCTAAACATCATTCATGGTCTTTATTTTGTGGTCAATTCTAATTAAGGCATACATAAATTAATTTTCTCAACAATTACTGAAAATTACATGTTGAACAGAAACCAAATTGAAAAAGTGTATTTTGAAATAAATAAATACACATTTCCAAAAATATGGTAGAATCTATTTTACTCCACCTGCACACAAATTGGTACGAACAACAACAAACTACGTATGAAAAGGAAAAGAAAATCTGCAAAAATGATTAAACTGGAGCAGTTGAGAAAAACATATTTTCTCTCACACAAGCTTGGAGGAAATCTGACAAAATTGTATTTATTTTCTTTTTATTGACTAAAACAACAGCCATCTGTTGGTGTTCTGCCTCGGGATACGTGTGAATGAGGGAGATGTGCAGCGAGAACAAAAGCAACAACAGAGGAGAACAGATTACTTTAACGAGTTTGAACACAAGTGGAAAAAATCTGTGAAGGATGGAGATGAGGCAGAGATGGAGAGAGAACCAGAGCAGAGTCTGTAGCTCCTTAATATATTAAATGCTGCAAAGCAACGTCTGAAATAAAAAAATAATGATAGATAGATAGATAGATAGATAGATGATAGATAGATGATAAATAGATAGATAGATAGATAGATAGATAGATAGATAGATAGATAGATAGATAGATAGATAGATAGATAGATAGATAGATAGAAATCTGAGTGGCAGGAATGGGCTTCCATAAAAACAAGAAAAACATGTTTTCTTTCATTTGATCACAGTATTAAGAGAAATAGAAAATTATTGTTTCTCTGTGAATAAAAATGCAGGAAATAATCTGTTCTTGGCCAAATATAAAAATATCCATTTCAGATTTGAAAACATTGTTTTTTTTTTTGTTTTTTGTTTTTTTTTCACAATTTTAAAACTTTCATTTAAGGTGAAACAAAAAGGATAATCTGAAAATGTAAAAGTTTCCACTTGAGTGAGTGGAGAATAAATATATGAACTGTGAACAATTAAATTATGATGCTGCTGCTCTGGAAAAACAGAGAAATTTAAATATTCTCGTGAATTCATCAGTGGAGTCACTCACCTGTCTTAAATTAACTTTCTTTATCAAATCTATTATCTGTGGCCCAAACAAAGAAAAGTGGCTTTTCTGTGACTTAACACCATGATAACACCTCAGTAGATATTTTTTTTTATTTTTATAACTTCATAATTAATGAATATACTTGAACCTGTAATTAAAATTCCAGACTGAGTGAGGACATTTGGAGAAATCGGATGTGCTCGGGGGTCAGACGTAGGAACCTGTTAATTATTCTAACAAAAGAACAAGTTAAGACTGATTGCAAAGTCGCTCTAAATTAGGCCTTTAATTGGTAATCTTAGGGATCCTCCTCTTCGTTTCTCTCCATTATTGTTAGCAAAGTGTAAACGTTTGTTAAATAAGGTCCGATTTTAAAAGGACGTAATCAGGATATTTCCTTTAACGAGCTGTAATCTTTTTCCTTATTAGTCAAACTGGACAAACACAATCTATATGATAAAATAATACACCAGTGTAAGCTAGCTTTATTGTGTACTTCAAAATGTGGGGAAAAATATTCAGAATAAACACACACACACACACACACACACAAACACACACACACACACACACACAAACACGACCTCTCTGCCATATGTTCAAGTGATTCACGAGGAGCGTGTTGGGAACTAATGAGTCGTAGCAGCTCACGTCATTCAAGGATCCTCTTTTTCTTTATTCACAGTTTTAAACACACACATGTGCGCGCAAACACACGTGCACAAACACACACACACACACACACCCTACCATCACCTCTATGTTATCTTTTTTATTTGCAGAATTTACACCCCAGCTCGTAGCGCTTGGCCTCCTCCTTTAAATCTATAAGTTGATTCACAGCTGACGCCTCACAGAGCTGCCATTCTTTTTTCTTCACACTTGATGATTGGTGGTTTACATTTTTATAACCAGGTTTGACACATCTTTCTGTGGGTCAAATGGCTTTTTCACTGGATAGAACATAAATCTTTGATATGATTGGCAGAAGATGATAACACTGTTAGCCATAAAAAGGTACTTGACACTGTTGAGATAAAAATACTTTGACATCATGGTATCTTTGATAAAGTACAGCTCTCAAAGGCTTTTAGAGGTAGTGTCTTTGACCTGTAACCAGTTACTGAGCTCCACTGCAGTGTAAAATGCTGCAAAATAGGATATATCCTTTGCTGTAACGTAAACTCTATATGAGGCCAGATCTGAAGGCCTTAGGTAAAGCAGGAGAATGTAAGGTGGGCAGCTAAAATCAAACAATCTCATTTAACTAAGTACAAAACCATCCACCGATCTGTGAATCTAGGAGCACTTTCTCACTAGCTCTGTCTCGTTCACTTTAAGTGGACCGGGTCGTTTCCTCAAATGTTTTAGCGTGAAAGCTCTTCAAAACTCTGATACAGGTGAAATTAACTATTGTCCGACAAATGTGGTTATTGGTTCACTTAGTGTTCCGACTCAGCATGTGGGCCACAACACAAAACTGACATTAACAATGGGAATTTACATTTATTTTACAAAGCTTCACCAAAACCAGCAACAACCTAATCAGGCAGGGGCCCGAGTGTTGATCTGCAGAGGAAACTAAATGATTGCAGAGCTTAACCCATACTTCACTCTGGAGGCATCAGCGGCACGCAACGGCAGTGGAACAGTTTCCTCGCGGGTGTTGCTGCATGTACACACCAGGAGAATCTCAGCCGTGCTCCTCGCTTGACTTACGAGATCACAAAATATCTCGAGACTTCAAAGGTCATGGTTTGTTTATGTCATCTGCCATTGAACTAGGGCTGCAACTAACGATTATTTTCATAATCGATTAATCTGTCGATTATTTTTTTCGATTAATCGATTAATCGGTTTGTTATTGTTTAGCTATTTAACCTATACAAGTGATGAATACATTTCAGTTAAGAAAAAGAAAAACATAAGAGAATTGTGCAGTTGACTGCAATCTATTTTATTGCACATGACCACAGTCAGCAGTGTAAAATGAGCTAAACAGTGCAAAATATCAGTCCAGAATAATTTTTTGGCATCAAAATATAAGAGGTAAATTCCATAAAAAATAATGTAGAATCTGGAATAGAGTTTGTAAGTGGTATGCATTGCTGGGGGTGAGTGTCTTGTTCCCCATGTAGTTGTCCATCGTTGCTTGTTTTTTTCTGCATAAGAAACACAAATAAACTGAATTAAGTACACATATAAAATAAAGCAGCACACACACTACAACACTAAATCAATATTACATTATTTGAATTAATTAACAATATACAGTGATCATTTATTTTGACAAAAATGTGTTGTGAGGCGTTTTACAGCGTTAGATAGTAAAACAGCCTTTTAATAGTTAAAAAAAGGACTTTCTGAATTTCTCCTGTATTTAAAATTTGAAAGCGTACAACTATGCCGCGTTATATTCACCTGGACACAGCTCGTCTGTATATTTTTCTCCGCGGAGTTGTCCTTTTTTGAATGAGGAACACAGTTATGGGTTTGTGCCGTTTTTCTCTTAACGAGAACATTCTTATAAACAGACGTGCTAAATTTGGCAAGCGCATGATTCACAACACGGAGGAGATTCACGATTGCATCTAGTCAATCTGAAGTAGAACACCGTAAACTGACGCGGCAAAAAAAAAAACATGTTTAACATCCACTATAACGAACTCAGCTAACACTAAGTCCCAAATGTGATCTGCGTTAGATTGTTTATTTTCTGCTACTTACCGGACTTTCCTCTGCTGCATCAGCCCCCACATGTTTTCATCTCAAATGTTCACTTAGGGACGTCGTGCTTCCGTCGTGCCATGGTTTTTGCATATTTTGTAGGTCACCGGTCTTTTCAAGGCATCTAGTGAAGTGCTCCCATACTCGTGAGGTTTTTGTCCGGGGTTTCTCTTGTTTTGTCGCTTCTATTTTTCTTCCGTATTTGTTGTTGATCCGCCATCTCTCACAGCAAGATGCGCGTCAGTAACGTGATACGTCATGAAAACCGAGGGCACTTATTGGCTAATTTCTTCTTCTACGGCCCCACTGGTAGATCAGTGGCTCATTACTGCCACACACTGGCGGCAAATTTAACAGATTGTAACCGATGTCAGATTGTGGTAAAAAATAGACTTTATGCAGTAAAATATGATTATTAAACAACTAATCGATGACTAAAAAAGTTGTTAACTATTTTAATAATCGATTATAATCGATTAAATCGATTAGTTGTTTCAGCTCTACATTGAATCAAAAGCAAGGCAGTCCCGTTTGACATCGCTGTTTGATGTCATATATGATGTTTTGATTTCCATAGCACCTTGCACTAGCCTTGTAGTAGCAGAAGGTGCTGCACACTATTACAAAATAAAATAATGAGACAAGAGTATATTTAAAAAAAAACATTCCAACAATAAAATGATTAAATAAGTAATAATAAAAGTGAACTTGCAAGACAATAAAATAATAAAATCACAATAAAAACTTGTGACTCAACTGTAAAAGGCCAATTGGTAAAAATGTGTTTTTAAACGAGACATGAAAGACTGGAGGGATGTTGTGGGCCGCCACAGGAAAGGCACGGCCCCGCCTAGATTTGTATCTAGAGCGTGGCACTTCCAAAAGTTCCCTGTCTAGGGAATGCAAGGCCCTTGTGGGGGTGTATCTATGGAGCAGTGAGGAAAGATAGTTGGGGCAGTGCCCTGTAGGGCCTTTTTCACAGACAGCAGGGTTTTAAACATAACCCGATACTCAGCTGGGAGCCAGTGAAGTTGATATGCTCACTCCGCCTAGTACCGGACAAGAATCTGGCCACTGAGTTCTGAACAAGTTGAAGGCGGGCAAATGCACCTGAGCTCACACCAGCATACACAGCATTACAGTCAAGGGGAGACAATACAAATGCATGTAAAACTGTTTCTAAATGGGCCCTCGACAGCGTTGGCTTGATCTTAGTGATCCTCCAAAGGTGGAAAAAACAGGAACGTATAACAAGTGAAATTTGTGAAAGCAGCATCAAGTTTTACCCCTAGAATTGTGACTACCTTCATACTGTCCTCCACATTTTACCCATCCCCGCGGGGAGCAGGGAGCTGCAGACACAGCCGCGCTGAGAACTATTTGGTGGTTTAACCCACCAATCCAGCCATTTTAAAGCTGAGCAACAAGCATGGAGACATTGGGTCCCATTTTAAAAGTCTTTGGCATGACCCGACCGGGATTTGATCCCCGGTTTCACAGTTCCAGGGAAGACACTAGGCCACTTAGCTACCTAAACAAACAAGCCCCACCACTTTTTGTGCACCAATTCTGAAATCTTTGAACTTGCATTTACTTTGAAGGCATTAATGTAGATTCACAAAATTTATGAAGCAAACACTTGAGATATTTAGGTCAATATATGATTAAAATTGTTGAATTTTACAATTTTGTGTAATGTGTAGCAAATTAGATATTTAAGAGTGACTACTCTGCACATTTAGGAACTTTCCTTGCTTTAGCGCACCTGATTAGAATGTTTAATCAATGCCTTTTAGAAAGTCCTCAAATTCAACAGAACCCTGATTTAATTCAGGTGTGTGGATGCATCTAAAACATGCAGGACGGCAGCCACATAGGACAGGAAAAACCTATTTTTGAACTAGAGACAGAATCACCCACAGGGATCAATTTGCAGGCAGGTGAAGTGAATAACATCAATTATTTAAATATAATGGTAATTTGAGTACAAAAGTGTAAAGACTTGAAACACTGTAGCATAAGAGCTGATGCTGGTAGACAACTGATTACACCTACCGGTCACTTATGTTGGGGCAGTTGCACAAAATGCTCTCTGACATTTTGCCTACAAAGAGCGTTTAGCTCTTCTTATGTCTCATAATAATAACAATTGATAATCCCTGTGGATTGCTGTGAACGCATTCGTCTGGAAAACAACAACCCGATTGAAACATTTTCTGTCAAAATCAGATGTGCAGACAACAGATAAAGGAAAAACTTCAGAAAACAGAGCTCATTAAGAAATACCAACCCAATTTATTGTTTCCATGGTAACACAAACAGATTTGCAACTAAAAAGCTTCTAATGTTGGGCTCAGCAGGTTAAGGTTGCTGATTTCCTTTTGCTGAAGAGTTTTTAATTACAGAGTTTTTGTCAAAAGAGATCAGCGCCGGCCCTCCACCCACGCACTTCACACACTGCGCGTAGGGCGCCCATGTGGCCAGTGCCAGCCCGAAGGAGATGACCCGCTGAAGAAAAAGGGAAACTTTTTAAAATTTTGTTGAGGCTGTTTCCTCAGATTGATGTGTTTGAAATAGGGCTGCAACAAACTATTATTTGGATAATCGATTAATCGGATGGGGTCTCGACACGATTAATCGATTAATCGGATTACATGGGGACATTGTTAAAAACTGCTAGGGAACCATTATTTCTCTCCTTCCTTCACTTTATTAAACACAACATTATTAGAAAACAGTTCAATAGCAGAAAAACAACATGCCATCACCTAAATTGTCTTATAAGCTGTATAGACAGAGACCCTAAGCTACACCTATCTGTGACCTAAAATGCTTGGTCCAAGTTAAACAGCTTAAAGAGCAAGTCAACCCCTACCAGAGTCTAACTCCACTCCCACTTCATGTTTGAAAAATGCAACACATGCTGTTGCCTGGCAGACCGAGAGGGCGGAGCCACTAACAAATACACACACACTCAGGCTCACGGCAGCATTGTGACATCATAATGTACCAGTTTACATCATAACATACTTCTTAGCCAATAGCGGTGGCAGATTTAAATTAAAATACAGAGCAGAGTTTTTACCTGACAATGGCACAACACTGCCAGTTTTAGGCTGAATATTAAAATTTTAACTAAGATGCACTGAAGTGCCAAATTATTGACGACACGTGTCTGCAGCACGATTAGACACTCGTTTATTTAGTTTATCAGCAAAAAAAAGTTTATTTGGTGGTGACTTGCTCTTTAAGGGCAATTCTCATCTGTTTTGTTTGATCTCATCTGTAGACATTTATTATAATTGGGGGTGTCAAACAACTAATTTTTAAATGTAATTAAACATAGGCTGTGAATTAATCAAAATTAATCACTATTTCCAAAATTGACTGAAAAAATACCAAATAAAACAAAAATAAATGAATGCCATCCTCCTTGCGATGATGCCCTGGGCAACTGCCATAAAGTCACATCAAGAAATGCTGCTGATCATTCCAATGATCCCAAATAGACTCACATTAGGCCACATGAAAGCAACTGAACCCAAAAAATATATTAACCAGTATATAATTACACTCACACAACACGCCTGCAGCGAGAGTTAGTACTTCTCCCTCCCTTTTAAAAGCGTTTTCGCTTCTGAGGACATTGTGGTGCTAGTAGTCTGGCCCTGGTGTAATCAACCAGTTTCTGCGGGAATGTGACAGCGGAACCGGTTCGCAGCAGCGCGAGTCCCCCCCCCCCCCCCCCCCCCCCCACCCCACCCCCACCCGCCTATCTAATAGCGTCGCGCTTACGATTTTATAGACTTTTTTTACGAGCTTAGGGCATGTCTAGCCTGTGTAATAATCCGGGGCTTGGGTGAATCACTTTTGAAAAGTTTTTAACTTACCCGGACACAGAGCTCTCTCCTTCCTCGCTGATTCGGCATGCTTCCTTTTAAGATGCTGCTTCACCTAGTACTCCCGTGCCATGCTAAGTCTGACCTACAAACGTTGCAGGTAACGAATGTCTTCGCCTGATTTAACTGAAAATGCTCCCAAACTTTAGAAGTTTTTACTTGTTTGGGTCTCGCTGCTTCACCCGGCTCTCCCTCGCGCCAGATCAGCGCTGATCTGACTTGCTTCCGGTCTGTGCGCAACGGTGGCCGGGGGGGGGGGGGGGGGGGGGGGGCTTTTGGAAGAGTTGCGCAACACAACGAATCGATGACGCAATTCGTTGCCAACGCTTTTAGTAATCGATTTTCATCGAATTTATCGATTCGTTGTTGCAGCCCTGGTTTGAAACATGTTGGAATATTAGAAGACCTTGCTCTTCACAGTGAGATGAAGGCGGAAATCACCTGAAGGACTCATTGTAATTGTAATCTGGACTCATTTGATGAAGAGAGCTCTCAGATTATCATTAATTCTAGTTTTATAAATTCTGAACAATAAACAGTTTTTCAAACAAGAAGATTTGGAGATTAGAGATTTTAACCTGAACTTGCAGGTAACAAAGGATAAAACATGGCTACACAACACCTCTCCTCTTGTAATCTGGTCAAGTTTTATTAGTCGGAGACCTTGAAATGGAACCACTACACATTTAATTTCGAATCTGCAATGGGAATCCATTATGATCCCAACCAGATTTACAGTCATTGATCCACGACTGGGAAAAAGGATAACTTAATTTGAATTTACTCCTGCGAACCACAGTGACGAAATATTCTGATGGGTTTGGCAGATTGTTATTTAATCTAAGTTGAAGATCAAAATTTACGTTTAAGCGACTCTTACACTGTACTTCACAGACAATCCCAGCAATATGTTACCCAGCAGGCTAGCTGGCTGAAGCAAACACATAAAGCAAAAGGAGTGAGTGGAGTAGAGGTAATGTGTCATGTTGCCCTGAGCGTTGGGGGTGGGAGACGTGGGGTTATAAAGTCTGAGGCTGATAGAGATTTTTAATGTGTCCAGAGTCACATCTTGTTAAGAGGCTTTGTAATTTCTGCCAGTTCCTTTAGGAAACGATCTCTTACTCAAATCAAACACTAGTCTTATGACATAAAGCCAGGACCACTGGAGGACATTATAACTTCCATGACTTCACAGCAGATTTTAAGGATTGTACCAATTAACAACATACCCAAATGTGGAAATCTATAGAATGTAATCAATATTCTTACATTATTTTCCCAATATACTAAATAGTAATGGTCTGTAGGGTTCATTTTATTAATTTAAAAGGGTTTTATAAGCTTTTATACAGGAAACTGTTCTTTGAGCTTCTATGTAGCATATGAAAATTTGTTTAGGTTCAAAATGGCCTATGAGTCCTAAAAAAGGCCAAATGCATCCCCATAATAAAGTCTCAGCAACATAAGTACTCCAACAACTTCTTTGGCTTTTTTTTCCTCTCAGACTAGCAGTTGCTCAGGCAGTAGCTCAGAGTAGCAGTAGCTCAGGCTAGCAGTAGCTCAGACTAGCAGTAGCTCAGGCTAGCATTAGCGCAGACTGGCAGAAACTCAGACTAGCAGTAGCTCAGACTAGCAGTAGGTTTTTATCATCTAAAGAACATCGCCAGAGTCCGCCCCATTCTCTCTCGGGCCAATACGGTGACGTTGATGCATGCTTTTATCACCAGTAGGATAGATTACTGCAATGCCCTGCTTTCTAGTCTTCCCAAAAAGAGCATCTCAGGCTTACAAATTCTACAAAATTCGGCAGCACGTGTCCTGATGAAGACCAGGAGGCGGGAGCACATGACAGCAGTTTTAGAATCATTGCATTGGCTCCCCGTATGTTTCAGGATCAATTTTAAGGTTCTTCTAATGGTTTTTAAGTGTCTTAACGGTCTTGGGCCTTCTTATCTATCAGAACTGCTTTTACCATATGAACCCTCGCGGCCTCTGCGCTCCTCTGGCAGGCGTCTCCTGGTCATCCCTAAAGTCAGGACACAAAGTCACAGCGAGGCGTCCTTCCAGTGTTATGGCCCTCGCCTCTGGAACGAGCTGCCAGATGACCTCAGGGCCGCAGAGAACGTTCATGTTTTTAAGTCAAGACTCAAGACCCATCTTTTTAGGTTAGCTTTTATCTAAATATTTTCTACAGTTTTATTTCTCAATTTACATGATTATATTTTATTACCTGCTTTGCATGTTCTATATGATTATATTTTAGCACAGTCTTATTATTTAAATTATTTTACTGTCTATATCATTTTATTTATTACTTATTTTCTCATTTTTGTCATTTATATGAGCTCTTTTATTACATTTTTACTCATTTTAATCCAGTGTTTCCTCTGTAGGGGCCCTCTGCCCCGGGAGCGGTGGTCGGCTGTAGCTTCCTGGGCGCTCTATAGGTGGGGGTCTATGCTCCCCCTCCACTGAGCGCCGTGACTTAGTGTGGAAGACCTGATGCTGCCGGGACAGACGGCTCCTCTGATGGCGTTTCCTTGCGTTACCATACTTGGCTCATCTGGACTCAGCCTAATATAATTTTTACATGTGTGTGTGTGTGTGTGTGTGTGTGTGTGCGTGCGTGTGTGTGTGTGTGTGCGTGTGGGAGTCTGTGTGTGTGTGCTTGCATATGTCTGTTAATGTTTTTAACCTGTTATGGGAATCTGGGGTCATTTTGTAAAGCACTTTGAATCGCACTTTGTTTGAAAAGTGCTTTATAAATAAATTTGATTTGATTTGATTTTGATTTTAGCTCAGGCTAGCAGTTGCTCAGACTGGCAGAAGCTCAGACTAGCAGTAGCTCAGGCTAGCAGTAGCTCAGACTGGCAGAAGCTCAGACTAGCAGTAGCTCAGGCTAGCAGTAGCTCAGACTGGCAGAAGCTCAGACTAGCAGTAGCTCAACAGCAATGTAAATGTAGTGGCAAGATTTCACAGTAGTTTTTGATTCTAGAACACTTTTGACTTGCTGTCCAGATTGTTTCTTTTTTCTAATGGCACCATCTAGTGGCTGACAAGCATATCACAACATGACCTAGTTTAATTTCCGTATTTATGGCAGCAATGCCTCTTGTTCATTAACATGCTCTTCTAACCAACAAAACAGAGCTAAAACACATTGTTCCACAGTTATTTTGCTAATTGTATGCTGTGTATTCATATATTTATTTTTGAAAGACATACTCATGAGAAAGGTCACCAACTCAGCATCAACCAAAATATGTCCTTAAACGCTCGAGCACGCTCTGCGATTCACGTCTGTCGGTAAGCGGTAGTGGAACACTATTGGTTAGTGCTGACTGGCACTCAGTTCATATTGCACAGAGCTTTAAGGGACAGGGGGCAGGGTTTATCACAGTGCATGATAGGACAATCACATTTATGGATTTCTGAATAATCAAACATAATTCCTGAAGAGGGAAAACTCCATACAAATTTGGATTCTGTTTTCCAGACGTAGCCATTTCTTCCTTGCAGTTTGGCAAAACCATTTCCAAAGATTTGCCAAAGGACCTTATTGTTAAATGGTAAATGGCCTGTATTTGTATAGCTCCTTCTTAGGGTTCTACAACCCCCCAAGACGCTTCACAACACAATCAGTCAACCACCCATTCACACCCTAATGGGGATGAGCTACGATGTTGCTACAGCTGCCCTGGGGCACGCTGACAGAGACAAGGCTGCTGAACACAGGTGCCACTGGTCCCTCCGACTACCACCCACAGGCAAGGGGGTTAAGTGACCAGAGCAGCTGTGGTTACAATGTAGCTAATCACCACCAGGGTGTGAATGTGTGCGTGCGCCTTGGGGGGGTTCCAGGATTCTAGAAGGTGCTATATCAAGTACAGGCCATTTACAATACAAAATAGTACAGGGTTTCCCTTACATAGGCGTAGCCGTGGCGGGCCGCTGTTTCCCGAAGAAGCAGCGGGAACTACTATGTGATCACAGCCGGCGGGCAGCAAGGAGGAGCAGGCAGGGCAAGGTGCAGTTACAGCATAAGTTACTGAGTTTAAAATTAGAAAGGTAGCAGTGGATAAAATGCTTTTTGGTTTGCATGTTTCAGTAGCATTAAGATAAATGAGTGTTGATGATCTTGACAGGGTTTCCTCCAGTGCTTACTAGGCCAGGTTCTCCTCCCCCCACCAGGCTAAGCATCACTTATTCATGTAAAATTTATTTATTTTTTCATGTCTGACTTTAACCGCATCTAATACTGTATTACGGCGTGAGCGCAACAGCGACAACTTAAGATCGATGTGTGAGCAGCGAGAGAGGTCGGGTGTTTTCATCTGAACCCTTAAAACCTCCAGCAGGCTACGCTGCACTATTGACGTGTTAGCGCGCAGCGCTAACAACTTAGCAACGTGACATATCTCGGAGAAAGCGTAAAAACACGTTGGACGCTTCTTCTGAAGCGTGAAAATAACGCTTCTTCCTAAGCAGAGCACGACGTCGCCTCGGCTCGTTCACGGCCAAGCCGGTACCGGACTGGGCTCGATAACTGACCCAGCACAGCCACTGGGTCGTTGGAGCTGCCCTGTGACTGCCTGATGGAAATCCAGCGGGTTTCATCAGACTCGTAGTTTCTTGTTTTTGCTGGGGACCCCCTGTATTTTACCGCTCCCTCCTGCAGTCTTCCCCTATTAAAATGTAAAATGATTCTGTAAATTCGTGTATCAATAGAAAAAATCTCTGCCTCTGCCAGCTGCAGTCAATGTAGTCTCCAAATAATAAGAGGTGCATTCATCTATGTATCTCTTTTGATCCGCATTAGAGATATTCTCAGCACCAGAACAGTGAAGCAAAGCACTGAGTTTGTTATTAATTTTATTTATTATCAGTGCTTCTATGGGTTGTCTCCAATCTGCACTGGAAATTTTTACTTTATTTAGAGACATGTCATAATCCCCCCCCCCCCCCCACCACAGCTAGAAAAATTCCTAGAGGAAACACTGTAGTATATCTGAAAAAACAATCTAAACATTTTTAAATAAAGCTATGTTCTGAATTGATGATTGGTGTAAAGGTTTAGTGTGACTGACAGAAGAGTACTAAAACAGAATGTAGTTGGATGTGTAGTTTGTCCCTGAACACTTGCTTCACAGCATGCTTTGAGCTAACTTAAGTTTGCCAGTTTAGATCTACTCTTCCTTGATGCACAAACACACCAATGCTCATACAAATCT